TTAAGACTGGTGTTATAAGACCCGGACCATCCCCGCGTTGGTGAATTAGTAAATTTTGGAATTTTTATTTATTAAAAATTATCTTTTATATTTTTTTATAATTTTAATATACTCATATTAACAATAATTTTTAAAAAATAAAAAATTATTTTAATTAATTAAAAAAAAAACAACTATCATTATACTCAAGATTATCAATTCTGTTTCCGTAAATATTTTATTTTTTCAATTAGAATGAAATGTTTTAGTTTTGTAGTGTTTCGCATGTCGTTTCAAGCATATATATATATTTAACAAACATAATTTAAATTTAAATTTAAAATAAATTAATTATAAATTATGCAATACAAACATAATTCCAAACAAATATAATTTTAAAATTTTAAATATTTCTAAATAGTCAAGATTAAATAGATCTTTAACTTAAAGTAATTTAACTTAAATAAAATATCAAAATATTATGAAAGTAAAATGTTTTAACACAAATATTTTAAATATAAAGTTAGGTCAATATTATCAAGACTAATGAAATTTAAAGCATCTCTTATTTTGCTTAAATTCCTATAAAGTATAAACATGAAAAAAAAAAACATAAATATAAATCATATATATTATTGATAAATCTAATTTTAAAAAATTAATATCATTGTTAATGAAAATAGTAATAATAATTTTTAATATTATTAATACTATTATTATTATTGAAAGTAGTAATGAAAAAAAAAATTATAATTTAGTGATTTAATTCAATGGCTTTTAAAGAGTAAAATGAAATATGTGAAATGAAATCAAAATATTTCAAATGAAATTTAATCAAAAAAAATCTAGGGTAACACGTGTCTGATGTCCCTCGGGTTAGGAGTTAGACTCAAGAGTTAAGACTTAAGACTGGTGTTATAAAACCCGGACCATCCCCGCGTTGGTGAATTAGTAAATTTTGGAATTTTTATTTATTGAAAATTATTTTTTATATTTTTAGATGATTTTAATATACTCATATTAACAATAATTTTTTAAAAATATAAAAAATTATTTTAATCAATTAAAAAAAAAAAACAAATATCATTGTACTATAATCAGCGGTAATTGGAGTGCGGTAAAGGACGCGGGGGGGCGGTGCTCTTAAAGACTATTAAATATGGAAGGTTGTATTTGTACACAGAACTAGGTGGGCTGGTGACAGAGGGCACCGAAAGCCAACCACAGTAATCAGAGTTGTTTTTCAATCAATGCAGTGTTCGTGGAGTGTGGACCGTGGATGGATTGTTGGCTGGCTCATGGTTTTTGATCTACGGTCCATGACTATGGTTTCTTAAGAGTTGTAAATTATAGATTTTGAAAATAATAAAGCTTTGATGTTAGCCGTTAGAATATTTACTCTCAGCTAATATTTAAGATATTTAATCAGTTCCTTATATGTGTAGCCGTTAGAATATTTACTCTCAGCTAATATTTAAGATATTTAATCAGTTCCTTATATATATATATATATATATATAGCATAGTTTTCAAATATAAGAGATATGACATCTCATTTATTGATGTTTCCATTCCAACATAACATATAGATTTACTTGGAAGATTTACAAGATTTTCCCTAATTTTCTAGTGATAAATAATTTAATTTATCTAGAGGGATAGCAAAAGATGAAATTAAGCTCTCTTAATTAATAAGTAATTTGATTTCTCTAGGTTGGGTAAAAGTGGAAATCAAGTTTTCTTAATTAGGTGAAATGTAAAGCTAAGAAAATTAATTTGCCTTTATTATTTAGATTTTTTCCTCATCTAAAATTTAAAACTCATTATTATAAAAAAATAATAATAAAAATAACAATTGGAAGTTCATCTTTTTTCTTACGAGTGCATGCCCGCCATGAATCTTTTACGGTGCTTGAACTCGGCTGGTGTAGGTCTATTATTCACCATAGATTTAGAGCTGCAAAAAAAAAAAAAAAAAGGTCAGTACATATTCGCTTCTTGTACAGGTGCTCATATTTATTGAAGGTATGGCATTGAATTGGTGATGGCAATATTGTGGGTCTCAGCGCAGAACTTTTTGACCCAATGCACTCTCCCTTTATGGAATAAAGGAGACGAAGCATTGAGGTGGGAGAGGAACACGTTTGATTTGCTGTGAATGGTGTAATAGAGTAGTATCTTAAAAGGTATATATGCTGACTTTGAGATATTTTAATTAGTTATTGTCATCTCCACGTACGTCTTCGATCGATTTCATGCAGGGAAGAAGTCCCAAATACTGAATTTTCCCCCTCGATAATTATGAAATTCCTATAGATATATAGAGTGCAGTCATGCATCGAAGAACATCGATCCCTCTCTCTTTGCCAGAAAGATCTTGATTTTAAAAAACATGCATAGGATTCCTCTTTCAAGTTGCTAGTTCGGCAGACATGGTGTTCTTGGCTTTCTGAAACTCATGGAGATTTTGCACCAAGGTTGTTTAATATATTAAGATTTTAAAACTTGCGGCAAAAAACATGCATAAGAGTTGATTTCAAGGCTATCCACCAGCACACAAAACTACATAATTAGATAATGAAGTTTTTTTAATATATATTCAATCATGAAAGAATTCTAACATCATATCAAACATTTTGATAAAATTATAATAGCCACAATTAATTAACTCTTAATTAAAGCCGTTAACAATTAACAAAAAAATACCTAAAACTAATAAGGGTTTCACTCTCGATGTAGACACGGTGCAGTGTGGATTCACGGGGTAAGTTAATATTGTTTTTTTACTAATGCGTGGGATACATGGCTCAATGACAACTACCTTTTTCCCCTCTCTCTTGTTTTTGCTTTTCTTTCTTTTCCGTCTCGCTCCCGCCTAGCTTTCCCCTCAACGTCAGCAACAACCTCTCTCTTTCTCTAAATTATTTTGATTTTGACTTAGAAACTGTTATGCAATTGCGTTCTTTCAGCTGATAACTCTTTCTGGGTTCACAGTAATTCAATAAGAAAATGAGGGAGTACCTCATCGATGATCCAAGCTCTGTACAAGATGAATACACACACACACACATCAAAATACATATAACAAGAAAATCTGTTTCTTACAGATTTCTATGAATCGTACTTGCTAATTACTAAACCTGTATACATTATCGGTTTGTATACAGGTGACGCTATTGTGTTTCATCTTAATGTTGCTGACTGTATTGGAAAAGCCAGTTGCAAATATATCATGCATGTATCCCAAAGAGTGTTGGTGTAACCTTTCTTCCTTGTGGTAGCGTGGATTCAGGTGGTTGGAGTGAAGAAGAAGCCAAATGTGCAGAATAGGTATAAATTTTGTCCACTAAACGCATGTATATGCTATGTACAAGACCAATATTTAACAGTGATATCCGTTTTGACTGGATTCTTGAACAGGGAAAAGCTTCTTTGTTTTCCAGGGGAGGTATGAGGCAACTTCAGTACTTGATGTTTGTGCTGGCTTCCTTCCATTGTATATCAAGCATCCTGACATTCAGTCTCGGGATGGCCATTCTTTTGATGGTTATTTGGATATGCACAAACTTCCCATAAGTTAATTTAAGTTCAAGGTTTTGAAAAAAAAAACACACAATATTTTAGAGTCTATTGTCAATTAAGATTAAATATTAATCAAGGTGTGATGGTAGTGAATTTAGCTGACAAATAAGTTTATCATTATCATCTCGGAATCGAGATTTAGATTAATGATGCCTTTACTTTTTCACTGATAAAGTCACTAATCGGCATGCTATTCTCCACTCACCCGAGAGAGCAGAAAAAAGCTATCCCATGCTGTGTACTCGATCAAGTACCAAGATGCATGTTTAATAACGAGCCAAAATATTTCCATATCATGTCCCCTCTTCGACTGCTTGATGAGTTATTTGACAAATTCATCTCTACAAAACTCAGCCGATAAACTACAAGTCTTTGTTGTGGGAACTA